CCAATGCCCAGTTACTCAAGGTTACTTACCTACCCAGCCATTCCCCTATAAACGTGCTAGATATGCACCTACCACTGTACCACTTCACTGGTTACAGTGCCCTAAGGTCCTCGGGGTTCATCTCGCAACTAACTGATAGTTGCGCGGTCGCACAGTAGAACAGGTCGAAGATCCCTACAGATGGAGGCCAAAATACGACAATAAAATAAACCATTAGCCACGAAAGGACAGGGAGCAGAAAACACTGGCAATCATTAAAAAGCGAACAAACAGGATTATTCAAGGAGTTCACGAATGAGTTTCAGTTGGAGAAGGAAAACGAGTTTTTAAAAGAAATTCTACGAATGAGGAAAAACGTATTGAAGTAGCTGGGTAGCTCAAGGACGCAATTCAATTCAAAAACCACAACAAACGTGAGAAGCTTGAATCACTCGATTGAAGGACAGATCAAATTATCAAAATGACCGAATTCAAACGTTCAAAGCTACATGACCGCAATCTAAAACCTGTGGCTTTCCCGAAAAGCTATTTTTATCTCAAAGCAAAAAAATCAACAGTGCACATGCCATACAGAAGGCCCGAAATGTTATTCTGCCTAAGCACTGGCCCAAACATAGTATTCCTTTCGAACCTATTACCTGACTACAGTCAACGTTCACGTCAGCGGCTGAGAGGAACGTTTGCGTCTCGCAGTAATTGTAATCTTTCTCTGCTCTTGAATCGAACGAAGGGAAACAAAAGCTGGATGAACAATATCAGTTTAACAGAGGTGCGGGGATTTTCAGGAGGATTTAGAGAACTTGATCAAGAAACCACACGTAAATCTGACTGTGGGTCATGCACAGTCAGCCACTGATCTCCCGAGGAATGGAGCACTAGTAGTAATGACGAGGCAACAATGTCGACATACTACTACGCAACATTCTCCCGCCGCTGCTGAGATGAATCAATTAGTACTCACAATGCATGGAAACTTGTATGAACTGTAACACGCCTCTGATCTATCAGTTTCGAATTTATTTGCAATGTAACTAAAATTGGAAAGCCATGCTATCTAATATAACCGAGTGCGCCTCCGCTTAGTCTCAAATGCTACCACGCGGCTAGGACCTGTTTGAAAATATAAGCTTTGGCTGAGAAAACTGATACGCGACGGTTGACCGTCTGTTTGGCTCCTAAAAGATTTCAACTAAAAAGTTAAATGCCCTGAGTGTCAATGTTTAGTGTCGAAAGTTCAGAGTCCCAATCGTATGAGATGATCTATCATTCCAGACTATCCCATTATGGACGCCTTAGCCCGTTCGGTGGCGATGCAATCCAGTTCGTTCTGAAGAATAATCAACCAGTGCGTTGCTGACAGGTATGATCTCGGTACTAGCAGATACGGCTGCATCGTATATGTAAGGGCATTACCAGTATTACTGATTATTCGGAAGATGAAAAGCGGAAGATACACGTCTCCGTTCGGAAAACTATCTTTTAAAAGGCGACAAATGGTTTTCCGGAGATTGAGTGCGGAAGAAATCGGCGATACACTGTGAAAACAACAGAATCACAGTGAAGAACACAAAAACTCACCCTTTGTCCTGTCACTGAGCGAATGACTGCGTCTTCGACTGGGCATGCTCATTGAATCATTTTCCTCCAACGAGCTGGTCGGTTTAGACATGAACTCGGTGATTTGTTCCGGGGTCAATGGGTTCACAGACGGTTCACTGGATCGATTGCGGGCCGACAACTGAGTGGATATTGGCGAATTTCCCAAGACTGAATCATTTGGAGTTGGTGTATTTGATGGTGGGATGGTTGCACTCAAGCCGAGCCAATCAGCTGAGTGACGGAAGGGGAAACAAGAAAGCAACTTAAACAGGACACCGAGAAGAGTACAATGTCATGCCGAAAATGAAGCGAAAACCGTTTGTCAATGGGGAGATGAAAGACTACATCATAGCGGCGACCCTCAAATCAATCGCTATAGACTTATCTGAGGGTCTCACAGTTACTCAAATCAGAATGGAAAGGAGGATGTCGACAACACATGATTACTCATAAGCTTAAGCATGACTTTCACGATGACTATTGATCGGTTCGAAATGCAAAAAACGTTCGGAGGTTTTGAAGTCCACCTGACAGCAAATGTATCACAAGACAAATCATAACTCCATATGTACAACACACGTGACTATGTTGTCAAAACAATCAAGTTATTTGCCAATCCTCACATTAGTATTGTATACATAATTTTATCTTCGTAAGTCACTTTAGCAATTACCTAAGAACCACATAAACAAAACTGGCACCATAATCTTTATTTGTATTCTCTCAGTTTTCATCATATTGTGTACACCGTTGGTAAAATGCATATTTCAAACCATGTTGATTTTTACTACTTAAATGTGGTCACGTAATCAAAACGGTTTAGTCGGGGGCTTTAAAATGACCACTTTCTCTCTCGTCTTCTATTCACTTAAGGCAATGTCCCTTCAAACAAATTCATCCTACTGAACAGTACTGGCTTCTCAAGTCAAGCCAACTCGGAAAAGCTTCATCTCCGCCACACCACATGCTGTTAAGAGCATGAATTTCCATGATTGTGTTCATCAGTCACTGTAGTTCAAACAGAAACAAGGTGAAAATGTACACTAATAAAGGTCACTTCATCGTATCTCTCACCTCCGAAATCAGTGAGGCGACTAGTGGGGAAGTTTGTCAAATTACGAATTAACCAACAGGAAGGTGATAGTTCAAGTACATTAATCTCTAGCCAACGAATCGGATACACGCTTTGTGAGAAAGCATGATTTTAGAACAGTTTTATACAAATGGTGAAATCTTTGATCCTGAAGAATCCAACCGGGGCAATAGGCGAATACTTTTCGATTTGTGAAAGTATTCGGATACATTTGGTGAGCGCTTTATGATTGTTGCATCAAGAACCAACGAGAAAAGCCTCGGATAGGATGCAGAGATGAATAAAAAAAAATACCGAAAGAATTTGGTCGAAGTATTTAAAACTAAGATTGACGTATTTGCTTGCAACATCTGTGTTTCCTTTTTGTTCATTATTACTTCCTTTTATTGAATATATATATATATATAGTAGGAATACATCCGCCAAGGCCGTAATTGCGGGCCTTTGCCGCTCGGCTACTACCGGTCACGTACCAAGCATGCCGTGAAAGCGACTAAACCACTAGGATATTATCACACATACGCAGAGACAAAACGTGTTGTCAACTTCAAAGGGTTACAGGATAAACCATGAACTCCTAACTAAATGGGGTAAAATGTGACTAACTAACGAGTGCTTGTGGGGTGCTTGACATTCGATTCGCCAAATGAATTTCGTTACTTGGGTGTTGAGGAATGTAGTATTATTAAGTTTACACAAAGAACCATATGGAATATATACTAGGGTCATTTTTGGAGTGTATCCGAACTGTTTCCGCCGACATGCACTTTAGAATGGGGAAAGAGATTCACAATATGGGCGGACGACAACGGGCCCAAAAGGAACAGCCAGATAAAATAGGACTCACTGGGACGGGAAAGGATCTGTATATCATTCCCTTCATCCGGAGTGGAGCAATCCATCGGGGACATTTCGACCTAGATAATGGATAGATTGAGGGCGTGAAAGCAATGACATACTGTAGAATTATTGATTTTCTTTGTCAGCACTATGGGAAAAGGCAATCTTCATTTGACAGGAATATAAACTGACTACCATTATTCTAGACATCGGCTTAATCATGACATTTTGCAGTCCTGAATCATAAATAAGAACCAAATAAAATGAAGATAATCTAAAAACACTGTCCGTGGTGTTCTGCTCACTATTGTTCCCATTCA